CTCTGCATCTGACAAGCAGCAGTTTGGCAACAACCAGAGAGGTGGCTATACAGCTACTGAGAATGAGTTATTACAGCAGAATCTGAGCATATTTCTCTGCAGAGCTCCAACACTTTATCTGCTTTGGAGCATGGAAGAACTGGTAACTTGCCAAAGCTACTTCTACTTTTCTGCTGCTTTCAAATGTTTTTCCTGTAATTCCTTTCTTATTTTTGTGCCCTCCTGCACTGAAAATATTCTAATACACAGTGACAGCACTTAGGGCTGATTAAAGTGTTTGCAAGTGATGACAAAAATATGCTCAAAGGGCAGATGGCTTGCAAGGACAGATCAGCAAAAGAGAAGGAAAATAATTTATGAGCAGAACCTACTTTAAATTTGCAGTAGAATCATTACCTTCACCATCCTCAATGCATCAGGAAAGCAAATTGTAATTACAGATGTGACATAGCTCTTGCATATTTAAAATCCTCAGTAATTACTGCAGTGAAGGAAGTCAAGTCAAATGCAGCAAGTCAATTTTTTTTTCTTCCACAGAAATGAAAGAGATTTAATATTACCCTTGTCTAAAATTCATCCAATTCTGTAATTTAATATTTGTTTAAATGATATTAGGCTTAAAAAATAATAAAAATCTGACTCCTGCACTTTAAAAAAAATAATCACTTTAGGGAGACAAAATGAACTTTTAATGCATGCTCTTTTTTCCTTTTTTCTTTTTAAATGGGAGATTGATAACACATTTTCAATCTAGGCACTACGCCTGTGGGCAATGTGCTGGCTTCAACAATTCTCCAGCTACTACAGCCCTGTTAGGCACTGTGCCAGACAATGCCTTATCCAGAAGAACTAAAAACGGACTGTTGACTTCAGCTGTAGTCTTGCCCAAGCTAGGCTGGTAGTACTGGTTTCAAGACAATCCTGTGGGGTACAGCCTGACAGTTCCTGTCAAGGTCAGGCTCTCTGCCTCAGAAAGTAAACAAGCCACACGCTTCATGAGCTCCAGTGAGGTGCAAAAACTTCCCACGAATTCATCTCCAGTGGCAGAAGAAATTTTGACTGAAATGAAAACATGAATGAACACCAGAGGATCAGTATGGGGTGGAACATTGCTTGGGAAGTCCATTCTTTGATACTTAGCACAGCATCAGTTCCTCCTCAATACATCTCTGTGCTTAGAGCACTCCTCACCTCTCCACCACACTGCTGAACAAAGTAACAGGTTCCTTCTAAGGAACCAAAATGAAGATAACCAGTCTGTAATTCCTCCTTTCAGCCTTTTAACAGGTAGACAGTAAGTTGGGCTTTTTTCTAGTTTCCACTCACATCTGTAAAAATTCCTGAAATGGGTGACAGTGGCTTAGAAAGCATGAAGTACTTCCCTGTGGAAATGTCTTTAATTGCATTCATAACTTGCTGCATAAAGAGTTTTCATTAAGAGTTATGATTGCTTAATGTAAGACAATCATGTATTTTCAAGCCACTAATGCCACAGATTTAACCGAAGATATGGCAAACCACAACTTGATCTATAAAATCCCTGCACAAACTAAGTTCACTTTCTACTCCTTTCTCCATCTTCATCTGAAAAACTAGAATTTACCTGGGGAGGCATCAGAGGTTTTTTTGTTCCTTTAGGTAGACCTTGAAGTCAGACTGTGCAAAAAAAACATTCTGTCTGCACCAAAACCCAACCACTGGAAAAAAGTATCCCAGAAATAGAGAGCATATATCTACTTTTGTTATCTACTTTGCAGCCTACTGAGGCTCAGAACAGGCAATGAATAATGGAGGAAGCAACAAGCAAATTAAAAAATCCTAATTAAGTAAAGGATGAGCCTGCAAGTTTTCCAGCCCTTTGCTTTTGGTATCAATGAATCACATCCAGATTTGAAATTAACTTGAGCTCTTCAGTAAAAATAGTACCTTCCTTTAGTACCATGTGCTTTCTAGGTTTTTTTTCTACATACTTCACGTGTTTTGATCTGTGCTGCTGTTTCCTTTTTTTTTTCAACAAACAAACCTGGAAAACCTAGTGATGAACTGCTTATGAATTTACCTAATCTAGGGTTTATGTAAAGGCACAGGCACTTTTGACATTTAAAAATTAATTTTAAGCCTTAATGTGACAATAAATGCTTTGAACCACCAGCATTAACAACGCCATAAAGACAAAGCTAACAGATAAAATAACAGTGAGTTGGTAAGGAACGGGAGTGTCTCTCCTAGTATTAAAAAAGGAAAAAACCTCCGCACCCTCACATAATGTGTGCTAATGACAGACCTGCTCTGACTAAAAAGACAGAGTTGACATGCTTAAAGTACATGTTTAGGATCCTAGACTTGGCTTAACTCAAACAGCTTTGATTGGATGGGGTCCCTCAACAGTATTAAAACTGCTCTAATTGCATTCTTCAAGCCAGCTGAAGGCTGACAGCTTCCGCTCTCCCGCTCGCTATCAGGGCACATCAAGGACTTCTGTTACGAGAGGAGCACCTGGTCCAAATTTATTTCAACGGCCCAGAGCAAAATGGGAAGGTGCTTAATGTTCAGCCACAATAGTGACATTTTTACGATACATCCAAAGTTCAGAAACAAACAAATGAAGGATTTGAAAGGCGTACAAACAGAAATGGTGACAATAAAAATTCAACATTAATATATCAATTTTAAAACATATACCACCCATATTCTGGAGGGCAAGGCCAAAAGTTCAAGGCAGAGAAAAGAAGAAATCTGTATAGCTAGCTTGGAAGGAAAAAAAAAAAAAACCAAACCAAAAAACCCCACACCTTTCTATAACTTTTTGAAAGAAATGCTGACCCTTTACTAAAAAGGGCGTATTTAATTTCATCCTAGATGAAATTAATACTACAAGTAGTACCACTCATTTCACCCAAAATTGGTGACACATTTCAGCTTTAGCAGAATAACAAGCAATATAAACATAAAGCTCTTCTACTTTAACGTTTCTAGTTTGTGCCTCTCTTCCTGCCTCAATGTAGAAAAATGAAATTAACTGGAGGGGCAGGGGGAGATGCACACAGGTAATATTGTAAAATCTTCATATCAGTAGTGAGAGTTGAGCAAAATTTATGACTGTGTTAAAGAGTCTTGAATAATTTTCCTCAATCTCTTTGAAAAATACCATTGCTGTTTTCAGTCGAACCTTACGAACATGACACTCCTGTTCAATTCAAAATTAGGCCAATTTTATTTCTGCAGCTACAACTGAATTAAAATTACAGTCATTATGTAAATTTACAGAAGACTTCTCATGCACAGAATGACAGAAGATCAGACACTGTTCTATTATTTTTTTAATTTCAGAAATTGAAATGCTGAAATTGCTTCACAGTAGTCAGGGCACATCACACAGTATAGCAAAGTAAAGCAGAAAACCTCACAACTCTGCAATGACATAGGAAGGGTCAATTAAATCTTTATAAATAACCACATTTAGGAACAATTTTAAATGTGTGTTGCCTAAACAAGAAACAAATTATTCAACATTAAGTAACTCCACACTATTTATAACAAAGATCTGAGTTCTACACCTTGGAAATTTCTATTCAGGTATAAGAATGTACTGAAAGAGAGCTTTTATACTGCAGTAGAAAGCATCTATTTCTTCCTATTTGGCAATTACTGGCTTACTTTCCAATCAGTATGTATGGCCAGATTTGCTGCCTCATATGAAGTTATTAGCATGCACACATGCGCTATATTTCTTTACCAAATAGATAAAAGTGTAATTTAGTAACTGACAGAGAGAATCTGCAGTACAACTGAAACTACTAAAAAAAAGACCTTGTTCAAGACAGACTGAAATACATAACTACATAGGTAAAAAATACACCATCTTTAAAAATAAATCCCAACAGATTTATGGAACAGTTAATACTGTAATTTCTTGTAATCTTAAGATTACTGCAGCTCTGCCTTCTCATGCAATTTCCCCTCTATTCTGCATGGTGAATTAGAGAACAATGCGCAAGCACAGACTTTTCTTGACAGCGTCTGCCGATACCAGTCATTAGTATTGTCCTGGATGTTGTGCTTGACCAGCAGCATACTTCACAGAAACATTTTCTTTCTGCTTGCTTCCTATTAACTGGGACAAACTTCCCTTATGTGTCTCTCAAGAACAGCCTCGCTTTTCATTATTTGACCTACAAAACACACTGACATTTTTCAGACAGGAATTTTTAGTGTACTGACAGATGTTTTCTTTTCACTGAATAAGCAATGATTTTTACTGAGAATCAGCCGGTCACAGCATTTAAAGACCTTTAAAAATCCAAATTCCAACCTCATTCTTCCACAAAGATTCTAATGACTAAACAGTATTTAAAATAACAATAAAAATCTCATGGGGAAAGCGGGAAGACACGTCAGGAGAAACGGATGGACAGTGGAAGAAAGAGTTAACAAAAACTGCAGTACACCTCAAAATGAGCTATAAAGGTTCCATAATGAACCTTCTAGTCCTGAACTATCTCTCAGGCGCATTCACTTACATTTCTTTATGCTGCCATCTCTCACTGCAAGTATAACAAGAAAGTTAAAACGTAATTTTACATGTAGGTATATCACCTCAAATTAGCAACATAAAATTACTGACATTTATTCTAAAGAAAGCCCTACTGGCTAGAGGTAAAATGCTGAACTAGCATCTGTCAGTACTGCTAATTGAGGTAAGGTTGGGAACTGTAAAGTACTATTAAAGGAGTAAAATAATACCAAATGGAAATGATGAGAAGGTACAGTACCCTTCTGACATGCTAAATTATTATCCTGATTAAAGTACCTAGTATGTTTGACTCTTAAAAGTGCCATGAACAGTAATGTGCTTCAGAATTGCAAGGAACATTCTTATGGGCCGCAGTACCTGAAAAAACAGGTTAACAAATTCTTGCAATATAATACCCATAGATTTGATGTGTTTTTAATGAAGCGTTCCATCTTCTGTATTTTTAAAAAGCATATATCCTTTTTAGAGAAAAACCATGAATGCCACATTTTTACCTCCAGCCTCAGCAGTTCCACCTGGTTCTCTGCAGTCTAAGTTTAGAGCAGATCTTTCGACTACAAGCTGTTTGCAAGATTCTTGCCATCATCTTGTGAATGGATGACAGTGTATAAAATCCAACACTGGACTCAAAAGTAAAACAATTATATGTAGGAGTATTAACAAAATTTATCCAACTTCATCTTTTTTTTTCTTGTTTGGCATCTCTACCCCTTTGACAGCGTAGTATAACAAAACCTGTAGAGCTCTGTCTGTTCATTTGGGAACACAGCAAATTTTACTGTGGCATGTAGAAGTCTTCTAAAAAAATTCAGTTATGAAACAGATGTTCCTTCTTCCTTTACCAGGAGGAACAGCAGGGGAAGAAAAATCAAAGACTATTCTGATCTTCATACTCTGACCTATGTCTACAATTTGTTGCTAGCCACAGCTTTTAGAAAATTCACACTTACAAACCACCAGTAAACATGGTACAAAATAAAGGCAATATGAAGAACATTCAAGGATGAGAAGGACTGTATTACATTTACTTCTGTGTGACTAAGTGTGTTAATTTTCAGCAGCTACCTGCTTGTTGAGAAACATGTTGAAACTTGAAGGTAGGGCAGTCACAAGAATATGCCTACTCTGCTTGAAAATATTAAGTTGTGCCAGTTTAAAAGCAAACATTTATGGCCAGATCCTATGGGATTTATTTTTGCAGTCTGCTCGCATGAGCAAAAAAATACAGTATACATTTCTAGCTTGCTAAAAGCTTTCATTACAGCACTAGTTGACAAAGAGAAAGCTCATGCCTTCTCCTTCACCACAGATAAACTGACAAATGTCACATTATTTAACATTTGGACATACTAAAATGAAGCCAAATAGAGCATACTGGAAGCTGAAAACACTTTCCAGGCTCAGTTACATGAAACTTTGTAGGTCTTCCACAGAATCTTTAACCTCATGAAGTTCAACAAGGAGAAGTGCAAAGTCCTGTACCCTTGGAAAAACATCCCCATGCACCAACATATGCCGGGGCCACTCAGCTGGAAAGCAGCTTGGCAGAAAAGGACCTTGGAGTCCTGGTGGACACCAAGGTGAATATGAACCAGCAGTAGGGCAATAAGGCAAATGGCATCCTGGCCTGCATTAGACTAAGTTTTGCCATGTTAGGTCACACCTGGGGTACTAGGTCCAGTTCTGGCTTCTTTGGTACAAGAGAAATACAGACACACTGGAGAGAGTCCTTCAAAGGAATGCTAAGATGATCAAGGGACTGGAACATCTTTCCTATGAGGAAGGGCTGAGACAGCTGGACTGCTCAGCCTGGAGAAGGTTCAGGAGGGTCTCATCAATGTGTATAAATACCTGAAGGGAGGGTATAAAGGTGGATTCAGGCTCTTTTCAGTGGCGCCCAGTGGCATGAAAAGAGGCAATGGACACAAAAATGAAACACAGGAGGCTGTCCGAACATCAGGAAACACCTTCTGACTGTGGCGGCGACTAACAGGTTGTCCAGGGAGTCTCCAGCCTTGGAGATATTCAAAAGCTGCCTGGCCATGGATCTGGGCAACTGGATCTAGGGGAACTTGCTTGCGCAGAGGGGCTGGACCAGCAAACCTCCAGAGGTGCCTTCCAACCTCAGCCATTCCGTGATTCTCTAAGCTTCAAAATTTTTATGTGCACTTTACAGACACCAGAGTAGTATTTCCATATTATAATGATCTGAAAGTCAGGTTTTGTGCATGTATGCACACGTGCACATATGCACACAAACATCCTCATTCCTTTTAAAAGATAAGACAATCAGGATTTAATTATTTTGCCATTTCAAGAATTTCACATCCCAAGGCCTCCCAAAAAAACCCCACCTAGCTTGAAAAGTCATGGTGAATCTACTGCATATGAACAGTTTCTGAGAGGGGAAAAGGACACTGTTATTCCTGAGTTAAGAATGTCAGAACAGTCCATCAAGCTAATGAAGGAGTTGCCTGCTGAAAAAAGTCCCCAATTTAAGAAAAAGAATAAAGAAAAGCCTCAAAAGCCACCAAAGTTCTCCCCTGAATTTTGTCAGCATTCAAGTGACATCCATACTTCAGAATTAACAGAAATGTACCAGTTAACTGGGGCATTAAAGCAACCTCTGTAGCGCTGGACAGTTTGTAAAGTTCATTAGCACCCAGATTACCTTCCTACAGACTCTTTGAGCCCCTCACAATCATCTGAAAGATCATTAGATTCTGACACATCGTTCTTATATATCCAAATGACCTTTCAGATATGCTCTTCAGGTTTCACTGTTAACACTGCATGCCAAATGTCACCAAAATTTTTTCAAGTTAAGTGTCACCAGAAGACATTTTGACAGGCCATTTTGTCACTAGATACAGCAACAGAATTACGTTATGCTGGAGGTGAGGAAGGGAGTGAAAGAGAGAAAAAGCATCTGATCCCTAGTCAGCGCAGCGTTACTTTTGGTATCTTGCATAGTTTGTCAGCATATACATGGTGCTTTTTTGAGGAAGGAGAGGCCACTACTCCATATAGCTCAATGCTCCTGGCATCCTCAGTTTTGCAGGGCATTTTAAGAAGTCAAGAGAGATGGAGAAAACAGGCAGCATGGGCTGCATTAGAGGGCAGCTCCACAGTACTACCTAGGTTCCCCAAAAGGGCCAGCTTTTCCCAGAGTAACCAGTTTCAATGAGTGCAGCCTGATACACCGCTTTCCAAGACCTCACATGTACTTTGGCACATGACCACAGAATAATCTCATCTCTTCTGAGGCGCAAGCTCAGCTTACACCCCATCACACAGCAAAAAGCAGGGCACACACCACACGGTGCTCCAAGATTGCCAGAATGAACACAACCAGTCCTGTACCTCTAGATGGCAAAGAAGGCAGGCACACTAATGCTTCAAGAGGATTAGGGGAGATGGGAAAGAGAAGGGGAAAGATGCACTGTTTCATCTTTACAAGTCTGAGTGTCCATCCTTTGACTAGCTAGTCTTTTCCTTCTGAAGAACTTCATGGAACAAGATGACCCAATTCAAACAAACACCAGAAAAAGTCTGCCATATTTTCTGAACCAACTGGTACAAATGAAAACCATGAGAAACTGAGTGTGAATGAGCAAACAACCATCAGAAGACAGAAACCTATACAGCTTTGACAGCCAAGAACAATTTGCCATAAAAGGAGTTCCTGGTAACTGCCAGAAAGCTGAAATATTTCTAAGAATTATTCAGCAAGTGAACAAGTAGGAAACCTTGGGTCAGGACCACTTTCTAATGCTTACCTCTTTCCGCTTTGAAATTGTCGTCTTTTATCAGCACCATGAGCACGCAGGGCTTACAGAGGAAAAAGCTTCCCTATCCTTAGGAGCATGGCTGTGCCTTCAAATGGGCTTCAGCAGCATTTGGGAACAGTTCACCTGACTACCACCAACGTTACAGGGTGCTCACTGCACTAAAATAGTGTCAGAAAAATGTGAGATTCCAGAGAAGTTGGACTTCTCAGAGCCATACAACTCATGGTGTTCATTTCCTATTAGACAGAGAGCTTGCCAATGGAATTTTAATGAACAGTCATGACCAACCTGCTGGACAAGCAACATAAAACAATCTTTTCATGCAAACAAATTATAACATTATAGGACTGCAGGAAATTTCACATCACACACACTGAACACATGAACTAGACAGTGGTGCGTACGTGTGTGTGTCTGCTCTACATGCTACCTGTCAAAGCAGACCGCCTACAGCTTAGTCAGGAAGAGGCTTTAAAAACCTTGTGAAAATACAGATGATAAAAGGAACTAAGAGGGTGGTACAAAGTAACTAGCTTCTCCAAATAAATACTCTGCACAGCTGTAAACTACATTTCGAGTTCCTGGGGAAGCAGGAACAAATCCTTAGATAAAAACCACATCTATTTAATGAATAGATACGTGGGAGCAAAGAAAGGGCTGACATTTCTAAAGCAACAGACTTAATGGTGCATGGAAGTATTTAATTCCACATTTTCAATTACATTTTCTGGCTTTCACTGTTTTTTTTTGGTTACAATGCAAACTACTTAGCCTATTTGTCAGGGTTTGGGAGTACACAAATCTGAACACTCTGAAGCCATAATGTAAGTCTGCAAAACTGGGTTGACTTTATTCCATCTACAAGCTTTACCCACTCAGGAAAGTTTCCAGAAACACAAGCTGAACGTTGAAGTTTGTTAGATGCTCTTTCCCAGGCCTTTATAAACCAAAAGCAATAAAACACTGTAGGCAAAGCATTCTGATCTTAGACACCATGTACAGTACTTACAGCAACCACCCTATGGAAGTCTTGTTATTGCTGCCTATTAAAAAAAGAAATCTGAAAACAAGAAAGTTAAAGCCTCACTGCTGTGGAGTAAAAGAATGGCCTTTTTATGGTGTGCTACTGCTGCCTTAAGGGGTAAATCCTGTTTAGGGCAAACCCTAGGAACAAAAAAGCCCAGCATCACTGTTGTATTAAACAGATCCCTCTTTTTGCTGATTTTATGGCACACATAGAGCCAAAAACCTCCTTATCAGAACAAATGCTTGACTACTTACTTTGGAGCCAATTAAAAAGGACTGTAAGATGACTTTTAAATTAAGGCTTTCAAGATATCCAACCAGCCAAGTACACTGTGAGAGCCGGATGCCCACCCTCAAAAGGTTTAGTGCTAGCTTCCCACCACCCACTCCCTCTTTCATAAAATAAAGTTATTTCAAATTCCAGGTTCCTTCTTTGATATATCCAAGCTGCTTTTGGGGAGGATTGGGCTTTTTATTTGCAGATAGGGCAGGAGTAGGGGGAAGAGGGAGGGAGAGAGGGGAGAGAATCAAAGCTACACAGATTCAATTCCTATTACAAACAGAAAAATTTTAGGCTCCTAAAAATATCGGTCATGCTAGAAATTATATGCCAAAACCCAACAGTGAACAAACTGCAGAGCCAAAGACAGTGAAAGAATGAAGGTATCCATCTGCAGATAACTGGTATCTTTAAAATGAAAAAAGAAGCTAGGTTTGACTATTTATCAAAAGCTGTGGTATTTCAAAACAGCAGTTTAGTAATGGAAACCACCACCATCTCAGATTCATCTAGATTTTGTTAAAGGTATTTAGGTACTTAGACAAGTAACTTTTAATGGATTCCTCCTCAGCTATTTCTGTCTGTAATTCATAAAGATGATAGCTAGGTAGACATCTGTATTTTTTAGATATCTTAATTTAGCCAGCAATGGAAAAGAATAGGGGAAAGAAGTAATGAAGTTTTCCTTCTCTTTTTCAGTAGGCTTTGAAAAGCAGTTACATGCACAGCAAGAAAAGATTAATAAAACTTAGGACACATTAACTAATTATATGGTAATGGGCCAGGTTTTACACTATTTCAAAACACATCTCCATTGGGAAAGATGTGTCACATAAGATCCAATCGTTATTTCCCATTTCACCAGTTTTAAATATGGCATGCTATATATACTGTTTTCAGTTTTCTT